CTAGAAGAAATGATTACCCTCTCTGTAAGACTTAGAACACCAATTGAAATTGATAGCGCCATTGAACAGCTAACTAACAACGTTGTCAAGGCAGCAAAACCTGAAATACCAGCACGAAGAAATTGTGAAATCACCTACCCAATGGAAGTCAGGGAACTAGTAAAAGAAAAGAGAAAAGCGCGGAAAAAATGGCACCGAACGAGAGATCCAACGGATAAAACTACTATATATGCATTCTAGCATTATTTCTGCAACAAATTTCTTAGCAGAGTTACAACAAGTTAGGATACAACTAGATTCAAGAGAGAACTTCGCAGAGCAAGTCATAATACAGAATATACATAAATTTATGAGAATGAGTAGCTTGCAGGTGATAAGAGTAGCAGATACATTAGTGTTCATAATATCCATTCCAATCGTCCAAAACAGAGAATATCGTGTATATAAAGGAATTCCACTACCTATAAAACAAAAAGATACAGTATATGCGTTAGTTTTGTTCACGCCACCACTGTGTTAAACTATGTGTTCTTACAAAATTTTCCTTAACAGCTTTTTTGGCGTTAGCTATCTGTTTCCCAGTTTTTTCTATAAATTCTTTCTTTATAGCGTCTTTTAATATTGCCGTTTTTAATTCCTTCCTACGTTTATATTTTTTAACTTTTATTAAACTGTCCGTAGAACTAGTATCAATATCTGAACTATCGGATTCTGTCATATATATATCTAAACATTAGGTATATATAATTTTTATAAATTATATCTATTAAATTACTTATTCAATTAATATCCTATCCGCGTATGTAATTACCAATAGTATTTACTCTACATGTATATACTATTATTAATTATAAACTATTAAAGGTCTATTTACACATAACCGTTCCGTGTCCGTTCCGTATCCGTACTGTCCGTTCCGGTCCGACGTTTAAAGATTGTTACTCGTTATGAATGGGCAAAGTTATACATGTCCGTATCGTGTCCGTTCCGTATCCGCTCCATCCGATTCCGTATTTTAAAATTAGTCGGAGACAATGTTTTTGGGGATTTCACTGATACGGATATGAAAAATACGGAACAATGTAAACAGCCATCCGATTTGTTTTTGTGACAGTCTGCACTTGGCGAGCTCCAACTGCACATATCCACTGCAAGTGACTTATTTAAATTTAAATTAATCTAAATTGACAAATTTGTTTTAAATTGATTTTAAATTGATTTTATACCTACCATATTATATTGTTATAATTAATTAATTATTATTATATTATATTATAATTATTAATAGTATTTAAAAATAATGAATATTGATGAAAAACTCATTGAAATGGTTCGGTCTCACGTGGAGTTATATGATTTGTCACATGCAAAGTATATGGACAGTGGTTATAAAGATGGTATTTGGCGTAGTATTGACAATCAACTAAATTTAACAGGTAACTAAAATTATGATACCAAGGATTGAAAATTAAAAACAAGGTTTTTCGTAAGTAGTTAATATTATAAACAAAAAATTTAAAAATGTATTCTTATAAGTAATAACATTTTTTTATGATAGTTACCAAAAATGAAATCACAACATTTTTTTATAATTGTTATTAGAGTTTCAATTTTGTCAAAATTCATTAAAACCACGAAAAGCTGTAAACTATTTAAATAGTTAAAAATATTTATAACACTCTATTTAAATATTTGAGAACCAAAATCGAATACAAAATACGAAATTCAGTATACATAAAAAAATGTTTTTCGTGCCTTACCAACTGAAGTTAAAATTTGTTCTCGTGGCAATATAAAATTTCAAAAAATTTCAATTTATAAATTAATTATAGAATCCGCTCAGAATCATTTTTGAATATTGTATTTTTTCATCGATGGTTTTTTTTTTATCCTTAAGATTTTGTTCGAATCAATGTTCAGATACTATTTCGAATACCTAATTTTGAGATAAAATTTTTTATACAATGATACAATTTTGTTTAGATTATTGGTTATAGAAAATAAATAATAGGTACCTACTTACCTATGTTTTATTATTCCATGCACGGAATGTATTTTATAGCGTAAATAAAGGTAATTACTAATTATTATAATAATATTATGTAATTACATTCAAATTCAATAAATCAAGTTTAATGTCAATGTGGTTTTTTTTCAAAACAAATCGTATCAATTCAAATATTAATCCATACAATTGAATTAATATTATAGGTATATTATTTTAAATAATATTATTAATTAAATAATTATTATACACTATTTTAAATTAGTTTACTTTATAGTTCTTAGTTATTAATATAAAAGTATATAAAATTATGTAAATCAAACAAAATAAATTAATTAATTTTTTCATTTTGCCACGGCACTGAACCAGATGAGGAATTAAAAACATTTTTGTATAGTTCTCTAGTTGCAAATGCTGCTCACTCAAAGTTATGTTTGAAGTTAGATCATTCATATTTTGAACATTTTCACTGACACTATTGTAGTATTCTGGTAGCTCTAACAGCTACTAGTATATTAACAGTTGCAGGCAGCTAGACCTTTTACTATGAAGTTGAGGTAGTCGTTGAATAATAGTAACACAATTGCCAAAAGTATATTGTTATTTATTTAGTTCCAACAATCACAATGATGCTAAGTCCAAAATGACAATCGTTATACGGAGCTGCGTGAAGGTGCTTGCAGTAGTATTGAGTGTACACGTCTGAATACAGCTTTGCTTTGCTTTGCTTTGGGGGGATGGCTAAGCCGTGAAACTATACCAGGCTTTTGCCTCTACTAGTGGATGGAAGTTTAGGAAGGTGGTTTTAAATTTGTTGGTCAGCATGTCAAAGGTAGGGTTTGATTCTACACTTTGTGGACGGTGGGGTGTGAGATTTCCCTAAGAGTCGGATGTGGGAATGAGTAGAGAAAGAGTTTTTGTAGAACATCGATTTAGATTGGTTATGAATAGAGTTTTTGATTGAATTGAAATTTGCTGATTTTAGAAGGACCGAATTTTTAACGATAGTGGGCATACCCGTTATCGTGCGAATGCCGATGTTTTGGACAGATTCGATCGCCTCCAATGTGAAGGACCGATGACAGGAGCCCGAGGGACCAAGAGGGTCCTGAATACAGACCGTTTCGGGGTCCCTCTTGAGTTCGGTCCCCGCGCCCCTTGCCGATTGATATCGTATCTTGACTCTAACGGATATGGCCTATGTGGCCATCGACCTAACCCACGCACTTGCGAAATTACTAATCCATACTGCGTATTATTATGATGTACTGTCAGATAATTTGTGACTGTCAATTTTATTATAAATCATACTATTTTTTTATATTGCAATTCTCTCATCTAACGCTATCGCATTTATCACATCCGCCTATTCGACATGACTGCAAAATCATGCTAATCTACTGTGGTACTATTTGAATATCGTTTCTCCTTGAGCCTTACATTTATTAATTGCGAATTTGTTTATGCGTTTGTTTTTGGCGTTATACTCCCTATGGTTCCTTTGATTAATTACAACCAAAAATGGTCTATAAACTGGATATGGTCGCATCAAGTACGTTTTCAGGGGAAACGCTTCATCTCCTAATATAACGTATGGAGCAGAAATGGTGGTTCCAGGTAAAAATTCATCTTTTGGAATATTTAACGAACCATTTTCTAACGATTTTCCTAAGTTAGAGTGTGCTAATATTCCGCCATCACTGTTTTTTCCATAAGCTCCCACGTCTACGGCTATAAAATTGTACTGTGCATCAACTAATGCAAGTAACACGACAGAAAATGTTTTTTTATAGTTAAAAAAATTGAACCAGTATTTGGAGGTGCTTGAATAGTGACGTGTTTTCCGTCCAACGCACCTATACAATTCGGAAAATTCTAATTGGTCCAAAAATCATTTGCAATTTGTTTCCATCTTTCTTCTGTGGGTTGTGGCATTACTTCTCACATTAAATTTGTTACTATACTTTTACAAGTTTCAATTACAATTCTATAAACAGTTGTATGACCTAGACGATAACTAAATGAAATTGTCTTAAAGGAATCTCCCGTAGCCAAAAATCTGAAACATCAAATATACCTATAACTTTTTAATTGCATAAAAATTATAAGAAAATTATAAAATTACAATTTAATAGTTAGTGTTAGTTTATAAATGTTATGATTTAAATTCAATTATAAATATATGAATAAATACGTAATAAAAATATTTTCTTTATGATATTGTTGATGTGTAAAATATAAAATAACGTAATAAGTAAGGCCCGGAATTATGTGTAAGTACTAAAAACATACAAAATATGTATGTATTTAATATTTATACATCGGTTATCATTCAAATATGCACTTACATAATATGCAAAAAATATACAAAATAAAACTATGTATTCCGGATCTATTGACTATAATTCAAGCTTGTAGCTTATTTAGCTACTCTTTGTGCTGTTAAAAAAACATGCAAATGCATATAAATCCGGGCCCTAGTAATAAACATGTAGTATTATCTATTTTGAACTTGATATTATTATAATGAAATACACTAGTTGTTTTATTATTATAGTATAAATATGTAATTATAGGAAAAATGTGCAAAACTCGTTGGAACAATATCCGAGATAATTACCGAAAATCCATTAAAAAAAACAACAAGTGGGCAAGCCGCTAAAAAAGTGAAAAAATATAAATTTGATGACCAGCTACAATTCCTAAAACCACATCTACAAGAAAGGGACACTTTGGGAAACATAGAAGATGTAGTTGACAATGAAGACAACGTAGACATTTTCAATGACGACGTGGACGAAAATGAAAATGAAAACGATAATGAAAACGCTGCAGTTCAAATTGACGAGAGCATCAACGATATAGACGGTGAGCAATTGCAAAATGTTGAACAAACCCAGTTCGAAAATCGATCCAAAAACGTTCAATAATTAAAACACCAGATTTGACTTCAACCACGTTGATGAAATATATTATTCAAAAAAAGGAAAATAATATGTTCAATGCCACTCAAAATAATCTAGTTGATGCTTTTTTGGCAGGCCTCTCACCAACACTTAAGACATTCACACCGTATTATTTAAACTTAGTGAAAACCAAAATATTTTCAATAGTCCAAGAGTGTGAAATGAAAATGATCTTAGACGAAGAACAGAAAAAAAAATCACATGCAGTGCCATATTTTACTGTACCATCGCCAACATATTATCAGCAATTAAACCCAAATATTATTCCAAATGCAGCTCAAAAAAACCAATACGTACAAGAACCAAGATACATGACATCCACATCACACTACCTGCCCTCACCACCATCTCCACAGTTTACTCAAAAAAATGCTCAAAACCATGCCTATGTTCAAGTGCCAACAAATACATTATCACCAAATACATCGTATTGTTCATCTGCGCCACCATCCCCTGCAGATTTATGCCAAAATATTTCTTTAAATGCTACCCAGAACCTTACCCATAACAATAACATTCAAGCTCAAAACAACCAATATGCACAAGAACCACGAAACATGACATCTAGATCGCACTACCTGTCCTCACCGCCATCTCCACAGTTTACTCAAAAAAATGCTCAAAACCATGCCTATGTTCAAGTGCCAACAAATTCATTATCACCAAATACATCGTATTGTTCATCTGCGCCACCATCCCCTGCAGATTTAAGTCAAAATATGTCAGTAGTATAAAATAGAGAGTTCAGACCGCTGGTCCCATGATCCCATTATCTCATGATCCCATTATCCCATGATCCTGTAACGTACCAACCACTTCAACTCAATATTGATGGTATTTTGAATTAAAATAACAAGTTGATGGTATAATGATAGTTTATTTGTATTTATTTAACACGAAAAATATTCTAAGTCCAAATAATTAAATTATAAAATTGTGGTAAACGGGTTGTGACTTAGTATCGACTTTGTGGCTGTTCTGCTAGTGCTCGTCGTCTCGGCTGGTGTTCGTCTGATGGACACTTGTCCATCGACGTATTTCGTCGGTTTTCCTATTAGATCCCTCCTATGGCATTTTTAGTATAAAAATGGTACATAGCCGCGTACACCTGACGTCATTTCGGCGTCCTCTACGAAATAATGTTAATTGGGAATTATATGTTTTCAAAGTTATCTATTTTTGTTGTTTACGGCTTTTTCGTCTTTCATAGAATATGGATAATGTGCGCGTATACCTATCAGGGTTCGCGCTGTACCATTAATTAGTTCTGTGCTCTTATCGATGTGGCTGCCCCGGACGCTTATATTATTACTATTATCGGGTTACGTGCCCCCTGCAGCATTTATATCTGTTATTGAATATAATATATTATATTATAAGCGTATTATACTTAATACAGCATAATATAATATATTATTTTATGTATTATTACTATTATTAATATGTACGTAGTCACAGCCCGTTACAGTATTATCTAAAAAGAAAATAATACGATAGGATTGTAACACTAGGTCAGAACTTCGAGGAAAATAATTATAATATAAACATTAAATATTAAGTAATTCTTTTTTGATTTTGTAATTATTTCGTTAAATATTTAAAATGGTAAGTTGACCTATGATATTATAATTTATGTATTATAAAATAAAAATTGACAGTAAAATTATTTGCAAAAATGAACGAAAAAAGTGGGTGTCGCTCTGCTTTGGTAATCGAAATAAAAATCCCCAGACTACAATATTACTCAGAAACACATGAAAATGACTGAACAAATATTTTTTAAACGTTAATTATTAGTATTTATAATTATCAAATTATTTATATTTAATAACAAATACATTCAAAAAATTAATATATAGTGATAATAGAATATTAATGATAATATTGTAAATAATATTTTGTTTTAAATTACAATAATATTATATTATATTACAAAATACTATAATATTATACCATTTCCCAAACAGACAAGAGACAAATTATTGAGCGTGACCAAAACAAAAATTACGAAGGTACTTAATATATAATTTGAAAAACTTACTGTCGAAATAAATCGGATTCACAGCATTAAAACCTTCTTCAAAACTTTGTACGGAACTAATCCATTCCTGAACAAACGTCATATTTTGCTCATTGCAGCTATTGTCTTGGCCATCATTGTTAAACAGGGTAATATTTTTCGTATTTTATTATCCCGGTATAGTTCGTTTGATGGATAGTCATATTATCTAGTTTAAGACAATATTATATTTTTATTTCTTTTTATTATAAATATTAAAATATACAATTATGATTACAAGAAACACATTACTATAATAATATGTAGAATATTATCGTATTAATTATAATAGGTACATCACTATATTATATTATGATTATTTCAAATTTGATTTTCATTACAGATATAATATTAATACTATCAAAATAATAAATTGACTTACCTTCGTTATGTTCTTTAATTGGTTAATCCGATAATACTTCCTTATCCCATCCGTTTATCCCCTCACCAGTTCCGCTCGCTAAGTTCCGCGATGTTTCATGCGTACGCGCTTGTACTACGCTCGAATATTATAAAAAACAATCCCCGGTTAATAACTCCGTAAATCCCTCTAATAATATTCGATTTCAACCACAAAAATTAAAATAACTTTTAATTAATTATTAACAATTATTCTATTAACTTATTCGTAGTAATATTATACTAAATCTTATCCTAGGCTAGCCTTATAATTAGTTCTTTTTTCCCAAAACTTTTCGAAATTTGTTGCAACTACTTTTATTCTTTTATTCAATAAGGTCATCTACTGCCTTTAAATTCAAAATCTATTTTCTTCAATATATATCAATTAATTTCTTTCAACAATTATCTATCTTTCTATATTTCAATTCAAAAATTCAATATTTCACTTTAATCAATTATTCCCATATATAATTCAAAATGCTACGTGCGTGCATCAATTTTTTAGATCAGCCTATCGCTGTCTACCTATTATATCAGTCCTTGCTGTCTATTACCATAAAATATTTAGGTCAGTCCCTGCTGCCTATCACGGAAAATCTTAGATCGGTCCTTGCCTTCTATTTACCATAAAAAAATCCTAGATCAGTCTACAGCTGTCTATCACAAATACGTATATAGTTCTTATCAAGCTTGTTTCCTATTTTTTTATTTTTTTTTTTATTTATTATTTTTTTTTATTCGAATATTTTTTTTCCTAATATTTTACACCTCCACCAAGATATAAAATAAACCCCTGATTTAATAAAATCAACGTGAGACGTGCACTTCAAGCTACAAATATATTTCTATCTATCTATTTTCAACTTAATGAATTACTCACAATAACGTTGTTGCCACTTCTGTATTCATTTTCCTTCTGTCTGCTGGCCTGTCTTCAATTTGTTCGTTGATTCCGGAGTCTATTGCAATACGGGCTCAGTGCTCATTTTTAACTTCAAAAGCTTTATCACATTCCTCATTCCAATCAAATTTTACATCCTTCTTTAATAAATTCGTTATAGGCCTAGCTATTGAACTGTAATTTTCAATGAACTTCCTATAATATCCTGATAATCCTAGAAAAGATTTTATCTGTTTCACATTCTTATATTCCGGAAAATCTAGAACAGCTTGTATTTTCTTTGGATCAGGTCTTATTCCTGTTTCAGAGATAACATGTCCTAAATATATACATTCTCGTTTTACAAACTCGCATTTATCTGGCTGAATCTTTAAGTTATGCTCACGCAAACACTCAAACACATCTATCAACTTATTATTGTGATCTACCAAGTTTTTCCCATATATAATTATATCGTCAAGATAAACTAGACACTTAATCCCAATGATTCCTGATAATACATTATCCATAAGTCTCTGGAATGTGGATGAGTAGTGTTACGACTGACTTCTAATTTGTTTTAGTTTTGAATATAAATATTTTATTTTTTTTTTTCACTAACCTCTGAATCTGAAGAAGTTATTGATCGATGATATGGCATTGAGGCTGTTGTAGTGTTGTACTGATTGTTCCTTGTGCAGAATTGAAATCTTGAAGACTGTTAAGTATCTATTATTTTACACTGGTATATATAGTCAGATCTTTCCACTTCTATAAAAAACTGTTTAGTAACCAGTTCCCGCAATCTATAATGCAAAATGTATACAAAATTTCATGACAATTAAAATTGTGTACCTACTGCATATGATAAATTTTATATAAGCATTATATGATAAATTATTATTAGTGTCAATAACCTTATAATATTTAAAAGTAAATAATTAGTATGCATACGAGTATTCTTAATGTAAGCCTTCAAATACTTATAACCAGTAAAAAAAAAAAACCCTTTTTAAATTTTAAAACATGTTTGGAAATGTAACATACAGTGACCTCATCACAGTAAAATTTCGAAAAAAGTCAGCACTACAAGGATATAACAAGAAATAAATTAGAACGTTCAATGTCAAATACATTTTGTAATTATATATCGAAAAAACCAAACGCTGGAAGCAGGGACGGACTGGCTGTTTTTGGCCCGGGTAGCAAAATTAACTAGGGGCCCGTAATTTTTTTTCAAACCTACCTAAATTAGGAAAGAGTCCTTAGTTTTATAAGTAAATATAAAAAAAAAAAATTAAGAATAAGATGTTATTTATTTGTAGAGATGTTAAAATATGGTATTTTATTTTTGTTTTGTATAATACCGTATTATACAAGTAATAGTAGTAAGCATGGCTAAATACACTGGTATGTTCTCAACTTCGTTTTGCGCATGTATGCTACGTCACTCTGTCCTATTATGCGAGAATGCGCGCCAAAATTTAAATTAATATAGTATTATAGTAGGTTCACATGACGATGACTGTCAGATAGTAATAATCTTTCTAAGAAAATTTTCTCATAAATATTTTAATTTAATATATATGTATTTATAATTTATTTATTATATTAATTACTTATGTATTTATAAAATGTGATTTTTGTAAAAAACGTTATCTTATTGTGTATAATATAATATGTGATTATAGCCATGAAAATAATTCTGTTTTCTATGATGAATGATGATAAGATTATAACAGATGTAAACACCAAACAGTCAATTAATGATAATGACAAACGTCAAACACTTTTACACTTCGTAGTTCGTACTTACATTAAAAATTAAAATTAAATACTTAAAGACTTTGACGCTTAACCATTACCTACCAGTTTCCTGACATTTGACATTTCATAATATATCATAAATAATTGATAATGTTGACTATTGTTGAGTAGTCAATTAATGAAAATCCAAATCTAAACATGTATGTACAAGTAATTAATTTTATATTTAGTAGTTTAATAATATTAGTTTCATGTTATTGAAGCTATTAGTAACTATACAATAAATAATTTTTAATTATGCCTTGTCTTTTAGGTTTTTGGATTGGTTATGTTCAATAGCTTTATTGAGCCTATTGATTCTCAGGAATGTCCGGGTACGTACCAAACAATGCACTACTTCAGCTGGTATTTCAATATTATACCCTGCAACTGTATCCATCACTATCTCAGTTAGTGTTTGCATGATACCTGGATTATGATTAACATGATTTCCAAGTAGTTTGTGAAATTCCATGTCCATTATTTTAGCAGCTTTAAAAAACAATTTTGTTGGCTTAACTACATTTCCCATTGATTTATACTCTATCCAACTGCAACTAAGTTCATTGTTAGTAAGAGTTGTTGCA